AATAGCAACCTGTCGTCGATTTGGAACTCCAAGATGAACCGGGGGCAACAGCAGTAAAGACCACTGTGAAACTGCCAAAAATTCTCCCATGTGTACTGAATTTGGATACACAGATTAGATATGCCGTACAGATATCTTAAGGAAAATTAACTGATTTTCAGGATGACATTTCTGCTTATCTTGTACTCTCTGCAAATTCCACAAAAATCAATCTTCCATTCACTATCTGCACTGGCATAAAAATGTAAAAATTAGACGAAACAGCAGCAAACTCAAATGGGTTAATACATCAAGAAGGTCATCAAATGTTCTTACAAAAGGTTATGGAACATCCATTATGGGAAAGTAGACATAGCACATTAAAGTGAACAACAGTAGATTCCCCCAAAATGGCGAACAGTAACATCCTCTTCTTTGGGTGTAATAATTAAGAGTTAAGACAGCTATGAAAAGCCTTCTTTTAGTTGAACATGGAACAAAAAACACATGAAAAAACACCAAAAAGAATTGTACTAAATAAATTGAAAGGAGGTTATGCAAAAAATATAGGAAGCTGGAAAAAGAAGAGATCCTTTTAAGCATCAAATCAAACAAGGTCAAACTCATACAATTCTAACTTTCAAAACTGAGATGCTCCACCGACACTTGTCAGTATCAATAGCTATATTAGTTTATGCAACTAAATTAGTCAGTACCAACAGCTTGAACTTGTCTCTGAGAGGCAAAAAGTAAATTGCAGTTATAATGTGAACAGTAATGGTACTAAAAATAATAAACTAACAGTATGATAAGAGTACAGCATGCTTGGCTCATCAAGGTTCTAGCTTTCTAACATGTGCCAGTGCTGCTGTTATTTCTTGAACAGAACAACAATTCACACCTTCTAAAGGCCAGCTGACAAAAAAATTAGGAAGATGAGTTTTTCCCTGTTCAGTCATAATATTAGTCTCTGTTCACTTNCAACTGCATGCAATGTACTACCAGCTAAATAAGGAGTATACAGAGATCAATAAACAACTCGTTTTAAAATCGAAAATAATGACCTGATCAAAATTTTCTTTTTATTTTTATTTATTATTATTATTATTGGAATTATGTAGATCCAAATATGGCAAGCTAATATTGCTGATATATGTAAAATAGTAAAGCAAATGTCAAATACGAATCAACAGTTTAATCGCATAAAATAAATGAGAATATAACACGGTTAGGACTTAAAATAAATAGGATAAAAGAGGGCGAATAATACGATTAGGGATGTAGTGACGTGAATTTGTAGGTAAAGTTGGAATAATAGCAACACAAATTTAATTGACGCAATTTTATAATGAAACGGTAATGTAAGCTAAAGACAAATGAATAGTAGCGTCCCGTTGTTTGTCGAAGAAAATGAGCACCAAGAATTGATCTCTAAGTACAGAGAAACAGTAGCTCTCGTTTTGTTTGCTGAAATAACTGCGCCAATCAACAGATAAAAGAGAGGTGTACCTACAAAATGTTAGAAAATACCCTTTTTTTTTCAATTAAAACAAATTACACGGTATAATAAAAATAGGGGCCCAAATCGAGGCCCAAAAGACTAAAATTAAGATGTATGAGACAAACAAGACACAAACCGAGGCCTACTTAAAGATTGAGCCCAATTGACAAAACTATTTTTTTTTCCTTTTTGGTTTTTATTTCACACTATTATTATTATTTTTTAAGAACAAATCACATTTGATAATAAAATGGAGGCCAAATTGAGGCCCAATTACCAAATCAAATAAACTAAAAAAAAAGAATCAAAAGCCCAAACTAAGGCCCAATTAGCAATTCAAATGAACTAAACAAAGTAGGACCAAACCCAAGACGTTACCCAATTTGGAGTCTGGTGCAGTGTCCTTCCTCTGGCGGTGCGATTGTTCCACTGTAATTGTTCTTCTTGCTGTTATTTTATTTTATTTTATTGTGTGACAGCGCCGAGCTAGCAACTGTGGCAACGCAACGTGGTGATGTCGACGGTGAGGCAGCTCACGTACAGTTCAGGTGAATTTGAAGGTTTGTGCGACTGTTATAGGGTGAAGGTGGGTTTTATGGTTTGTGCGGCCGTTTCACTTGGGTAGTGCGATTTTGTGTGGTTGAAGGTGGTGGATGAATATTGGCCGAAGGAGATGGAGCTGTGCAGTAAGCATATGGATTGGATTGAGCAGAAAAAATCTTACCCAGGTTTAGTTCTAATACCAATTTGATGTAGGATCACTGGAAGAAGAAGAGGAGGAGGAGGAGGGAAAAAGGAAATCGTGAAAGAAAAACAAGGAGGAAAGAAAAGCGCAATAGCCGCCAACTGTTATTTTATTTAATCATCAACTGAAGTCGACTACAATGAAAATCCAATAAATAATAGAAAATAACCTAACTTTAAGGGCTTAAGTCAATCCGCTACTACAAACTCAATAATACGAAATACAAATAATAAAATCCAATAACACTAAAAATAAAATAAATCTCGATGATGCCTTAATGATGTCCGCATCAACGACCAATAGCAACCTGTCGTCGATTTGGAACTCCAAGCTGAAACCGGGGCAACAGCAGTAAAGACTGTGAAACTGCCAAAAATTCTCCCA